GTACACCATATGATTGCTCTCAATCACAGACACTATTGAGTGTAGGAATCGTACACTTTCTATACTTAACCCAATTTTAGTGATTTATTTAACGCTCACTTTCTTTTTCGTCTATCTATTAGTGAATGAATTATTTGAAACAACTTTTACTTGAATTGAATGTGTGTTTTAATCATGCATTTAATCAGATATTGATTTATAATTAAAAGTTGTCTGAAGAAGAAAACGCTGGTCTTATACCTACACTCAATGGAAACAATGATTGTGTCAATCATTTGATGAAGTTTTTCATAAAATACCAGAATTTCATCAAATGTTTGCTTTATTTTGAAATAAATACTTTTAATGCTAAACATTGCATAATTAATATTTTAAAGCAACCATTTATTAAATATTAATATTGTCTATGATTTTAAAGTTTTGAAGAAATAATATATTGTATTTTTAATATTAGGTATTATTATAAGATTATATCGGATTAGTTTTAATTTATAATTGAATAAGTATTAAAATATTTTAGTTAATTAATGAACGTTGTCAAATATCTACTAATTAAGCCTTGAACTGATTGGTAATTAATAAACACAAATGTTGGCATCAAAATTAATAACACTATTATTTTGGCTAATGATGACTGAGATATCAATTGACATGATTTTGATTTAACACAAAACCATATAATTTGTGTTACATTAATAGCTGTAAAGTTTTATTTTATATAAAAGAGTTCTTCACTCATAAAATGTATAAATTATTATTCAAATGAACCATAATTTACAAAAGCGATGCACAAAATGATCAATAAATGCATTTTGCATTTTAAATTACTTCCCATCTTAACATAAATATAAGTGCTCAACAACTTTTAGTTTAGTTTTAATACATGATATTTAAATTAAAGTATTTTTAGTTTTTATTTATTGCTTTTATTTTTGTTGTTCTGGTTATAAACTATTCAATTAGTTTATGTGTTTAACACAAAATATAGTAAATTTTATTTTTTAAAATAAATTATTATTATTATTAATATGGTATTAATTTTAATGTTTTACATATGATTGAATGCATGTATAGAATTGGATCTGACCTTTGGTTCTGCAAAACTGCTTTCTATTTCATTTAAATGTCGATATGTTTGACAAATAACTCACGATTTGTTCCCATTTTATAGCTAAGAATTTAATAGAAAAAATAATATCGGTTTTAAACACATGTTACAAATAAACACGAGATGACCCAATCATAATGATCACAATCAAAATGATCCCGCATTTGAATCAAATCATTATAATAGCATTCAAATTAAATGCTGGCTATAAATACACATATTTAAAACAATGTAATTTTTTCTAGTATTAGTTTTCTGTTCAAATTAATTGCCAACAATTTATGACAATATTTGTTATTATGAAATATTTTAAATTCCTTGTATTGATTGCATTAATCGGCCCATCAATACAAATGCCAAAACCAGAAGTTTTAGAAAATGCATCCAATGATGAGATCAATTACAACGATATAAAGGATTCAAAGTTTGTATCAAAATTAAGACCATTAACGCGAAAAGACTACGAAAACGGACGCAAATTAACGTACGATCAGTTGCACGGCTTGAATGATCTCAATAGAGAGTTAGACTCACAGAATGTATTAAATAATAAGGATCTGTTTGAAGGCGATATTGTCATCAGGAATCGGTCGCAACTCGTAAGTGATATTGCCTTAAATGATGGCTAAATCATATGCAATGTATAAATAAATAATGCTTGATGCTTTTTATTCAAACTACACAAAAGTCAATGCGAAATGCAATTCGTGGTAATTTCCTAAAGTGGAGAAACGGCAAAATTCCGTACGTATTGTCCAACGATTACAGCGAAGAGAGCCGTACGTTAATCGCGCGGGTGTTTGAAGAGTTTCACAACAAGACTTGCGTCCGATTTGTGCCCAAACGATGGTTTCACTTCAATTACCTGCATCTGACGCCGGGTGTCGGGTGCGCGTCGCTCGTGGGTCGAGTGGGCGGCCAACAGGCGGTCACATTGGGTGAGGGGTGTCTAACGTTGGGCATCATTGAGCACGAGTTGTTGCACTCGATCGGCTTCTGGCACGAGCAGAGCCGCGCCGATAGAGACGACTTCGTCCGCATTAATTGGGATAACGTGGAGAAGGGAATGGAAGGCAATTTCGTCAAGTTCTCCTGGAATGACATCCAATCCTTAGGTAAATCTCGCCACACATTCCTCTCCCGTCTAATTGTTGTCCATTTTCACAATGAGATCGTAATCCGTATCGGAAATGCATGTTATGTTATAGGAATTAATTGCCATTTTATTTAAAAACGTGTTTTTTCATTAATTAGTTCCTTTGAGAGATTGTCCGATATTTATAAATTAATAGTGTATTTGAAATTAAATTATTAATTTCTTGTAATGTTTTATTACTTTTGATTCGTTTAATAGGAGTTGAATATGATTATGCATCTGTTATGCATTACGGCACACATGGTAACTATAAATCATTTATTTGTAACTCCATAATTTAGTTTGATTTTAATTTAATTAAAAAATTATAGAATAAGTAAAACAACAATTCATTGATAGTGTTATGTATTTTTGCAAAAATGATGACTTTCTCTCTTATTCTTGAATTTTGAACTAACATTTATTCCGAACAAACTTTTTTGAAAACATATAAATAATACTTGTTTTCACTGTTCATAGCGTTTGCAAAAGGATTTGGCGCCACATTAAGTGCCGTCAAAGATGTGCCACAAGGAGTCAAAATCGGACAGAGAATAGCTATGAGTGAAAAGGATATCAAAAAGATTAACAATTTGTACGATTGCAACAAAGATGTCAGAAATGATAACATTATTTCAGCGCTTCTCAGACTTATCATTGATATCAAGAATATGTTATGAAAGCTATCAGTCATTATGTATTTGTCTTTACTGTTATATGTTATTTAAGTGTAAATAAAGTTATAACTTTTAAATTAAAATAATATTTAGTAAATGTTTAATAATTTGAAAATACAATTAATTATAATTTATAACGAGAAAGAAAGAAAGAAAGAAAGAAAGTCATCATTTTTGCAAAAATACATAA